GCATTGGGCAGAGCAAGCATTGGGCAGAGCAAGCATTGGGCAGAGCAAGCATTGGGCAGAGCAAGCATTGGGCAGAGCAAGCATTGGGCAGAGCAAGCATTGGGCAGAGCAAGACTGCTGTGAAGTGAGTCTGGGGTTTACGCACAGGTGTTATGGATCACGCACCACTGTGCATGTCTGCAAGGCTGTCTGCCAGGATTGCTGAAAGAGAAATGAAGGAAGCTCGACTGCTGATGCTGCTACTGCTGCTGCTGCTGCTGCTTGTAGCACTACCACCAACACCAACATCACCCTCAGCTCGACCAGCAGCACCACCCACCACTGCTGATCCCCCAGCATCACTCTCCACCGCTCCTGACCCTCGCACTGATGCCCTCTTGCCCGGGGTGCGAGACCCCCCCCCAGCAACAGAGGCAGCAGCAGCAGGGGTGGGCGCGGAGGCAGCAGTGCGATGCAGGAAGGTGAGAGTGAGAGGCGAGTCGAGGAGGGAAGCGAGGGTCTGTGCTGCTGCCACTCGCACCTGCAGAGAGAGGAGAGAGGAAGGTGGCGATGAGGGCAAGGGAGAAGGGCCAAAGGAGTGGCGAAGGAGGAGGCAGAGGGACTAAAAAGAGCGAGTAAGTATAGCGTATGGCGCGAGTACAGGAGGGAGTTTTGTCAGGTATGCCATGCCTATGTTACAGGTGCTTATGCACGGTACACACGGTACAATTTAGTTGAGAAATACAAGATTGGTTTTGCAAGTACGGAACACTGAAAGTTATATTTCATATGTGTATACAGACCCGAATGGGTACTCTGGAGGATGGTTTGTGTTTGTAGATACAGTAGCTGTCCACGTCACCTTGGGGGATGGGTCGGCGAGCAGAGGAGCTAGGAGGGATGCGGAGGAGGACCTGTGAGGGGGCAGTGGAAGGCACGTGGGGGGTAGGTTGGTGGTCTGTGAGAGAGTAGAATGTACCAGTTATGGGCAGTGCAGGGCTCATTGATAGTGAGAGCAATCTCGCGTGTATGGACGGATGTGTGGGAGAGGGGGGGCGAGCATGTATGGACGTGAGGGCAATCCGTCACATGAGCAACCGTGTGCGAGACACACCTGGGGGCAGCAGCGGAGGAGTGGGGGAAGAGCTCCGCCCAGTGCGCGTGCAGTGCCCTGGGACACACGCTCGCCATGCTCTGATGGGTGCATGGGAATGCAGGCGAAGAGACGGGAGGGGGGGGGGACGGGGAGAGTGCAGTGAGGGAACGAGCGGCAGCGGAGGAGTGGGGTAAGAGCACAGCTGTTTTGAGGCGCTTCAAAAGAGCGCAGTGCTGAGAGCATACAGCGGCCTTGGGCACACCGGCACAACACCATGCTCTGGTGAGTGTGCGGAAACAGACGGGAAGTGGGGGGGAGGGCAGCAGAGTAAGGTAATAGCAGAAAAAGCACCCACCTTGATGCAGGTGAGTGAAGCTATTCTCAGCTTTCTTGCCTCCACGCTACCACCTCCCCTCCTCCCATCGCCTCCCCGCCTACCCCAACTACCTCCTCCCCCTCCTCCCCTCCTTTCTCCACCCCATCCCTCCTCCTCCTCACTCTGCTCCGACCCAGACCCCCTCGAATCGATGATTTCCGAGGGGAAATAGCCCCAGCTGCTTCGCTCAGTTGCCCGGCTGCCCGGAAAAAACCCGTTCAGGTGTGAGGAACGGGGGCCATGGGTAGAGGCAGCATCTGCTGCGAGTTTCAACCCTGCTAATAGCGCTGATGGTGCTGCAAGTGCTGATGGCGACGCAAGTGCACCCACCCCTCCATCTGCTGCTGCTCCTGCTGCTGCTGGTTGTGCTGCTGGTGGTGGCAGAACGGGAGGCAGGGAGGACAGGGAGGGGGACAGAGCAGGCGGGGGGGCGCGTGCATTGCGCGAGCGCAGGTGGGGGGGCTTGTAGGGGGAGGCAGCGGGGGAGGAGGCGGCAGAGGAGGCGGCAGAGGAGGCAGCTGAGGCGGGGCGAGAAGGGGGAGCCGAGGAAGGCAAGGAGGAGGAGGCGGAGGAGGAGAGGAGGGGGGTTTGAAGCAGACGCGCTTGCTGGTGGAGGTGGAAGAAGAAGTGTTGGTGGAGGCCTACGGAGAGGAGGGACGTGAGGACGGGCAGTAGAGTTGACGCCTGGGAGAAGGACGAGAAAGGGGGAAGAGGAGGGTGCGTAAAGGGGACAGACAGGATGAGCAACAGGTGGTTGCTAGTGCAGGTGAAGGACGGATGTGAGTAAGGATGTGAGTGAGAATGGGATGGGCAGTAGGGCGGACGCCTGGGGCACGCACAGTTGGGTGGGAGAACCTGGATGCGAAACTGACAAGATGCTGATTGTTGGAAACAGGAGTGATTCAAAGCCACGCTGATGAAGCTGTCGATGGCCACCTGATGTGACCGCCGTGGATGAGAGCCTTTGCGGATATCCCTATTTCGAACAAACATACTGAAGTTGTAATGGGAGGGCTCCATAGCGAGTACAGAGCTGCACCTGCAGCAAGAGCCTGGCAGGCAGGCTGTCCCCGTTATAGAGCTTTGCTGAGATACTTGTTATGATGCGCACCGCACACACCTGGGCTTGGCAGAAGGATGTGGAGAGTGAGGGAGGCGCGAGGTTGAGCAGGTGCAGCAGCAAGGAGAGGAGAGGTCGCATGGCGCTGGGGGGAGCAGGGACGAATGAAGGGTGCGGAGGAGAGATGAAGGAGAGATGAGGGAGAGGGAGGAGTGAGCACAAGACAAGGTTCCCCAGTGAGGATGTGGGCACACTCAGGTGGTACGAACACGTGGCATGCATGGCGCGCATGCGGTGCGAATGGCTCAGAGCTCAAGCATGAAGCCATGTGATGTGATGTGATGTGATGTGATGTGATGTGATGTGATGTGATGTGATGTGCTGTGATGTGATGTGATGTGATGTGATGTGATGTGATGTGATGTGCTGTGATGTGATGTGATGTGATGTGATGTGCTGTGATGTGATGTGATGTGATGTGATGTGCCTCGCGTTGCACCCTTGACATTACACATTGTTTCCTGCTTTCATGTCGCACTTCAAGCAACGTCCGAAAGTCAGTCAGTGAGTTGAGTAGCTCAATGTCATGACATGACAAGCTGTATCACGACATCACATGCTGTCCCATGACATCACATGCTGTCCCATGACATCACATGCTGTCCCATATGATATGACATGCCATGTCGCCATATGGTGTCGTACTGACCCTACCTGCTGATTTGCATGACGGCATCTATGCTACTTGGCAGCCGGTGCAGGCTTGCCGCCCATCGACGGCTCTGATGCGAATCCAGCAGCGAATGGACGGCCGAGATGCTTCGACTGACGGCCTGGGGGCATTAAGGGAACAGAGAAGGAGATTGAAGAGCCAAGGCGCTGAGACACGACGAGTTACACCCGCAGATTGAAACGTCTCAGAACCAAAGCTTTGAAACATCTCAAATCAAGACGTCCCAAATCTAGAGTCGCAAAACGTTTTCGAATTCGAGTTTGAGACGTCTCAGCAGCACTGCAGCATCAAGCTGGTTCTTCATTCCAACAGCTTTGCCATTGATGTGTGCCAAAGGTGGTCGCTTTGAGTCTCTTCAACAGTCTCTCCAACAGTCACTTGAGCAGAGGTCTCGTCACATAAGGTTATCGCAGGCGAGCAAAGCATTCTCTAGGCGACTCAGACAATCATCTCTTTGCAAGCAGCTTGGATGCACATGCCCTAGCCCCCACTCACTCGCTCTCCCTTCCCATTGCGCCCAAACAACCACCCGTGCACCTCTACTGATAGAGAGATGACGTCAGCAGGAATTTCAGGAATTGGCTTCTTCCCAGCCTCGTTCTTCCCCTTTTCCCCTCCCGCGCATCCCGCGCCCCCTGCGCCTCCTGCGTCCCCTGCACCCCCTGCGCCCCCTGCTGCGCCCCCTGCGCCAACGTCCAGCCCTTCCCCCCGCCATGAGTTTCCCCGTCCACCCCTTCCCCCTCCCCTGGTACTACACTTGCGCCTGTCCGGCTCCTCCTGCTCCGCCTCCCCCCTCCCCGCCTCCCCCCTCTTCGCCTCCCCCCTCCCCGCCTCCCCCCTCCCCGCATCTCCCCTCCCCGCATCCCCCCTCCCCGCATCCCCCCTCCCCGCATACCCCCTCCCCGCTTGCCCCCTCTCCGCCAACATCCGCCCCGCGCCTTCCGCCTCCGCCACCACCGCTTCCACCGCGCCCACCAGCCCCGCAAGAGCTGCCTTCTCAGCGTCGCCCGCACGCTGCTCGCTACTAGCAGCAGCATCCCCGCTAATAGCGTCCTCGCGGCAAACCCTAGGCGCTTCTGCAGCGGAATCTGTACTCTTTGACGAGGAAACGGCGGAGGTTGCACGGAGCAGGGCGTGAGAAGATTCGATTAATCTGCGCAGCCGAACCAGCAGCGGGTCGTCATCCATCGTTGCAAAACTAGTTATCTGCCTCGACGTTCACGAATCGAACGAACCGTAACAAATTGAACGAATCGAACGAATCGAATGAATCGACACCAAAAGCAGGGTGAATTTTAGTCGACTCAAAAGTCAAGAGAATCCATCTGCCTCGACGCTAACGGTTCGAACGAATCTACAGCGAAAGCAACCTTCGGCTCGACGACGGCCGCCGATTCTGAGAATGTTGCTACTTTTGAAGAGAGCGCCGATTAGCCAGATCGTGCATCATGCTCCAGCCTCTAGTGCCGATCCGTGTCGCAACTGAACACGTTGGCTCAGGCATACGCAGATTGGAAGTTGCTTTTTGAATGAGAATAGTAGACGGGAGAATCAGATGCTCGTTCTAGGCAAGCTTGGATGCTGTCAGACTTTCCCGCTTATTTTTAGAGGTTTGTAGCGGCGAATCGTCTTGGGGGTTCCAAAACACTCGCTATTGTAGTGCCGTCGTATTATTCAACACAGAAAACGGTTCACAAGAACGAATCATCGTTCAAAGTACAGTAATAGCTTCAAAGCTTCTCTTCCAAATCAAGACGCACATTGAACAGGAATACCGTAAGATTCTGTGGACCACCACTGTCTTTTAAACTTGAAGTAATCGTCAAAATGTGTTATGAGTTGTAAAAGAGAGTGCGCAGGTAAACGAATAACGATATTGTGATTGAATGAACTGAGAATACAACGAAGGCACAGACTAATGTAGGAACTAGCCTAGCTAGGAGGGAACCTCGGACGAGCGAGGTTGGGTGCAGGTTTGGCGATTTGGGAAAATGCTGAAGGCGACGCGAAGAGCCTCGGCAGCGTTGAAATCGGCCAAACGTGCAAAGTCCGAAAATCGGGCTGTACGCGAAGCAGTCAACCCCGATAAGGAATTCGAGAAAATTCCTTACACCCCCCCCCCCCCCCCCCCCCCCCCTAAGAAAGGCGGTCAATAGCCGAAACACGCCTGTGCGCCAAGTAAACACGAACAAGGGACGAGGCGTCCATCGAGGCGGAGTGCACCCACGTGTCGTCTTCAATTGTGCGATCAGTCCAACGGATGAGAAAATCCACGTGGTGACCAGCTGCGTCAAGGCGAACCCGATGTGTCAGAATCTTCGAAGGGTCAAGAGTCGGCTCCGGGACAGGTCGTGCAGTTGGGTCAGCTTGTTGCCACGCGATGTCGGTCGTGGCTGGCACAAACTTTCGAAGCAGGCTGACGTGGAAGGCGTCGTGAATGCGCCAGTCGTCGGGTAGCAACAGCTTCGCGGTGACAAGTGTCACCATCTTGATAATCTTGAAGGGCCCACAAAATCGTGGCGGTAGTTTCGACGGGCCGGGCAGGTGCAGGTTCTTCGTGTCAAGGAGCACTAGTTGCCCAGCTGCTGTCAAGACGAGTTCCCGGCGTAGAAGGTCGGTGTATTTTCGGGAAGTGATATTTGCCTTGCAAATTGCGTCTGCGGCCTTTTCGCGAACTTCCTAAAGTTCAGTCACAAATGTTTGTGACCTCGGGACCGGGTTGTCGAGAGTGGTCGCTGTAGGAACCGTCGGATCCAGCCCGTAATTCAGGAAAAACTGGGAGTGATTAGTCGTGCTGGGCGGGGCGTTGTTGAATGCGAACTCCAACATGGCGAGCGATTCTTCCCAGCGGGCAGGGTTGGGGCAGTTTGTCCTGAGCAGCTGCTCCATGGTCTAATTGGTCCGCTCGGTCTGGATGTCTCCTTCCAAAACTTCGATGTGAACTTCGGATCGCGGTCGCTGATGATCGCCGACGGGATTCTGTGCAGTCGCACAGCCGTTGAGATGAAGAGACGCGCCGCTTCCTCAGCTGTGATTGTTGTACGGCATGGGGCAAAGTGCGCCATCTTCGTGAAGCGATCGACGACTACGAGAACGGCGTCGTTGCCGGACGGCCCAGCTGGCATCCCCGTGACAAAGTCCATTGTCACTTGCTGCCACGGTAGTTCGAGTGGCTCGAGGGGTTGCAGCAGCCCAGCTGGTCGTTGACGTGTCGATTTCATGGCTTGGCACACCCTGCATGAGGACACATATCGCTGCACGTCGTTAGAGGAACCAGGCCAGTAATATTGACAGTGCAGTAATTTTTGGGTTTTATCAACCCCGAAGTGTCCGGAGAAATTCGAATCGTGGACCTCCTGGATAAGGAGTTCACGTAGCAACCTGTAAGCGGGAACCCAAATCCGGTCGGTTCCGGCTTTTAGGTAATAATCCCCTTTCTGCGTCGTGGCGTGCTGATGATTTTCTGTCGTGAAGAAAGGGTCCGTAGTGTAGCAATGGGTGAATAGTCCGGTAAGTAGCGGGTTCGAGTGGGTGATGAGTACTGCAGGGGATTGTACGGTCGGTCGGGTAAGGGCGTCGGCGATGTTATTCGCCCCTTTCTTGCACGTGATGCGGTAGGTGAAGTGGCTCTCCATGTAGTCCAGCCACCGAACTTGTCGCGGGTTGAAGTTGGGCTGAGCTCGCAGGTACTGTAAGGACTTGTGGTCCGTGCGAACAGTGACGTCGGCGCCCACCAAGTAGCAGCGCTACGGTTAGAATGCGTGTATTATGGCGAGCATCTCCTTGTCGTGAATCGGGTAGTTGCGTTCGGCTGCCTGCAGCTTGCGTGATACGTAGGCTATCGGCTACAACCCGTTCCCGAAATCCTGGAGTAGCACAGCCCCGATGGCAAAATCAGAGGCGTCGGTTACGACTTCGAACGGCTTCGATGGGTTGGCAATGCGCAGCACAGGAGGGGAAACGAGAAAATTCTTGAGTTCCTGGAAATCCGCCTCTGCCTCCTCCCCCCACACAAAATTTCTGTCCTTGTGCAGCAGGTCGGTCAGTGGACCGGTTATCCCCGCCATATTTGGGATAAACTGCTTGACGTAATTCACAAATCCCAAAACACTCTGTAGTTCCGTGACGTTCGTCGGGGGCTTCCATTCCTGTATGGTCTTGATTTTCGCCGGGTCGATTTTAATGCCGTCGTGTGAGATGACGTGGCCCAAAAACTCCAACTCCTGGTTAAAAAACTCGCACTTAGAGCCCTTGGTGATGAGTCGGTTCTCCTGCAATCGCTTAAACACTGCGTCAAGGTCGCGGAGATGCTGGTCCCGTGTCTAGAAGATCCCGAAAAACCCTGTTCATGGTTAACTGAGATGTAGAAGGCGTGTTTGTGAGGCTGAAAGGCATCACCGTGAATTCATAACTCACGGAGCGTGTGCGAAACGCAGTCTTGTGACAGTCATCGGCGAAGACTCGAATCTGGTGGTAACCGCCACGTAAGTCGATCTTCGAGAAATAGCGAGCGCCGCGAAGTTCGTTAAGGAGGTCGTCGGTGCGTGGGATTGGGTAGCGAGACTTGATGGTGACCCGGTTTAGCGCGCAATAGTCGATGCACATGCGAAGCCCGCTGTCTTTTTTCGGAGTGAACAGGATCGGTGCTGCGAAGGGAGATGTGCTGGCCCGGGTGAATCCTTTCTCCAACGGTGCGTCAATTTGACTTCGCAGCTCCTCGAGTTCCGGCTGGGTCAACCGCCACTGTGTCCGAATAGTCGGCTGCGCGCCAGGTTCCAGCTGGATTTTGTGGTCCTCAGGTCTCTCGGGTGGCAGTCCAGGTGGCAGGTCATCGGGGAAAATATCGGGGTACCTTCGAATCAGCTCCGCAAAATCTGGCGGTACAGCTGCATACAGCTTCTCGATGTCCTTTCCTTCAGTGTCCACTTCCAACTCGCGTAAGCAGACCGCAAACAGCTGCGCGCCCCTGTTGAAGTGGCGAGCTATAGTGATGGCTTTGACGCACGGGGCTTGGATGTAGTCAGGTGTCCATGCAGGCAGTTTAATTAGCCTCTCGTGCTTGTTGATGCTGCGCAATCCCGTTGTCCATTCGATGACGGGGTTGTTGTTAAGATAGCAAGCAGGAACGAATGCATTGAATGAGTTGTGGGTACAAGTACTAACCCTAACATTAGGTTGTACCCCATAAGGGCTACCCCAATATAGCCTACACAGAGCCAGCACAGATATAGTTTGACACACAAATTGGGGGAAAACAAGGGGTCACAAGACCAGTCAAGAAAAACAAAGCAAGCTCAGGGTGGATCACAGCGTCACCACACACCCCGAGCTCAAGCAAAGGGCCACAAGGCCTGTTCACATGCAGAGGTTTATATGCAACAACAATAGTACAGTGATCACTACCTAGCAAGAACAAGCATGCATGTATATATATAGATCACAGTACAAGCAAAGTCACGAAGTGAGCAAGTGAGACGAAACAGGCACAAGGCCTAACATAGTACAGAAATGTTGATAATCACCAGACTGAAGTGCCTTGGTGAATATATCAGCAGTGTTGGCCCGAGTGGCCACGTGAGCAAGACGAAGCTGACCACGCTGCTGCAACTCTCGAGCCAGGAAGTAACGTAGAGCGATGTGCTTCATTCTGTGCTCCAGTCTGTGCTCTTGACACAAGGCAATGGCGGCCTTGTTGTCGACGTACAGAACTGGAGGAGAACGAGGCCTGTCTCCCAAGTCAAACAGCAGGTAGGTGAGCCAGCGTAACTCCTATGCAGCCATGGCTATGGCGTAGATCTCAGCCTCACAACTAGAGCTGAGAACAGAAGACGAGCGGGTAGAACACCAAGAAACAGAGCCGCAGCCAAGGCTGACAGTGCAAGCCAGTGACGACCGCTGCGTAGCTAGGTCGTCAACCCAAGACGCGTCTGAGTGTCCAGTGAGGACAACCTCACCCCGTCCTCCAAGCACGAGCCCGATGCCCGATGTACTGCACAAGTAGCGCAACACCCTCTTAGCAGCCTCCCAGTGCTCTCGCCGGTGTCTCCCAGGCACAACGTAGCGAGCCAGGATGCTAAGGGGATAGGCAAGGTCAGGTCGAGTGCAGGTCATCAGGTACATGAGGCAGCCCACAAGCTCTGGATACGGGCCACTCGGCTCTACGAACTCGTCCGAAGGTGGAGCTGAGA